CAAGAATTAATGATGGCTCGTAAAAGAATGTCTGAGTTCTCGGGATCAACGCACGGATAATTACTTAAGTAAATCCTTTTAAGCATGTTATTTGTTCGGGAAATTATTGATGCCAAGATTTTCATGGATGGAAAATATTTTCCAAATTCTAAAATTTCCAGAAACGGAAAATATGCATTTGAGATATCAGACCAATCGATCTCATGGCTTGTAATAATTAAAGACCGTAAATTACGTAATTCATGAATCCCCAATGCTGGAAGACATGTATCAAAAGATTTCAAATAAAGATGAGTTAAAGAGGTTGCATGGTTAGACGTAAAAGCATTAGCAACTTTTGCCCATAATTCATGAGAGATATTTGTTAGACTTAAAGAAGTAAGATTGTTTTGTTTCTGGATAAGTTCTATCAATCCTTCATCGTGATGTATATATATCTTACTATTAACAGATAATTTCTTAATATTAGACGAATATTCTGCAATATAATTAAGTAGATTTAACTCGATCGTATACGGTTCGTAGCATGTCAATTCCTTTAAATTTGAAAAGTAAGATACTGCACCGGGAAAATGCCAAATTTTTGAATATAGAGGTGATATCGGATGCGAAATTTTCATGCAAGTTATTATAGAACTTTGTCGAAATAATAATCTATAAATTTCCAGTCCTAAAAAATCTCTTGTATCATCGGTGTAAAAGCAATCCAAATTTCGTTGTGCCTTTATTAACATATAATCAATGTCATAAGTGTTCAAGGTCCGACAATACTTTAGATAATTGAAAAGAGGTGGTCCAAAATTGATACGGATACCATAATTACGTAAAAATCTGATAGTATCATTAGTTAAATAAGCCGAGAGTGTCATCAAAAGTAATAAAGATTGCCTTTCTACTTTAATGAACCGTTTATGATCAGTTGATAAAGAACCATTTGGAAGTAATTCAAATTGATATTTCCAAGGATTTGACCACAATATCGGAATAACAGTGGCACACCATAAAGAGTTAACCAAAAGGCAATAATAAAGTGTCTTTAAGTCATTGTGAAAATTCATGAAGATTATCGAGAGACAGTCTGCAGATAGACTTGACATTTTTTGTAATAAGTAAAAAGTTAGAATCGATGAAATGATAATTCAATTTCAATGCTGTTTATATTTATACCGACGCGTTTTTTTTTTTTTTTTTTTTTTGTACTATAATAAACTTTACCGTAATTGAACTACTCCCTGAAACGATCACGTGTATACTTTCTTGTATCCCTTAATTTATAAGCAAATAGGGATGTTTATGAATTTACTAATTTGTGCGTGGGTAGATACTGTACCAGTACCAACCATAAATAGTCCCCATTGGATACTGTGTTTGGTAGAGGGTACAATTTACGGGGTATTGAATTTTTTGGTTGGTATTTTGAACGGGGGGTATTGTATTTTCTCTTGGTGAGGAAACATACACTAGCTCCATTTACATTTATTATAAAAGTTTTTAAGAATTACACAAAATGGAGAAATAATAATAATTTATCTAGATAAAGTTTTTTGATCAGAAGAATTTATCGCACTTCCAGAAGTGAAAATATTATATTATTTCCACTTTAAAGTTGAAAGAATTTGTTTTTGCATTTGAATTATGTTTGGTTCATATTTGTGTTGTCCTCGAGGGTAGAAGAAATCACGTTGCTTTTTATTATTTCTCAATCAAAGGTTTTATCAAATTACATCACGTAGAAATACATATCGGTATGGAAAATGGGTCCCGCTGTAACATTCTACTCATAGTATTCTAACCTTAGTATTTAAATCTAATCAATGTTATTTATATTATTTCTGTAATTAGCAAAAAAGATAAATTAGTCACGAAAAATACCGTTATTTAAAATAAATTCTTATTTTTGGTTTGTTAACCCTTGTTTTATTGCTATGTAACTGATACTGACGTTTTTTTTTTTTTTTGAATTTACAGCATGATCGCTAGTGCGCATATTGCGCTTTATTAAGTACTACGTATTCTCTGACCTTTTTGAAGTAAATTTACTAAAATAAAATCTTAACATTAATGTTTTTTAATACATATTTCCACACCTCTGCAATGTAAATATTTGATTTTTTTTTTTTTTGAACTTTGATTCAATATATCTCGACACTCGCCTGGACAAATTCGATAAACTTTTTTTATTTAATAGTAAAAAAAGTTCATCTAATTTGGTCAAGTAAATGTTGAGATATCTTCAATTAAAGTTTTCAAAACAATCTTATATGCGGCTTCTATTTAATAGATATCCAAAATTTTACAAAAACTTTGATCGAAGTTATTTCGATACCCACCTAACCAAATTCGATAAGTTTTTTTTTATTTTAATTGCAGAAATCAAATAATAAGTTCAACAAATTTGGTTAAGTGAGTGTAGAGATATCTTCAATCAAAGTTTCACAATAATCTTCAACACGTTTTCTATTTAATAGACGCTTAAAACTTTAATCGAATATATCTCAACACTCACCTAACCAAATTCGATAACTCTTTTTATTTGTTTTGGTGATCCGATTGCGTGCCTATAAAAACCACTTATACTCTTTCTCTTTGATTAACAACCCTAACTCTAAATTCTACCCCTAACTCTAAAAAATATCCTAAAAATGCACTTCAAAAAATTTAAATTTTATATTAAAATTATAAAAATTTTATTTCATCCAATCTTATTTAATCTGTCACAATAGACTAATTCGTAATTATATAAGAAAATACAATTTACACTTTAACGTTAAAAAAAAAAGTCATAATATTTCTGAAATACCGAAAAATAAGAATTAGAAGAAAAATTTTTATTAAGGACTTTCAATCTTAACTTTTTCAACTGATAATGAAATTTTGTTTTGTATTGTAATAATATTATGTATTTCAAACTTTCGTCAATCACTTAACAAGGAGTACTATATAATAACAAATCCCACCCGACTATTTAAGCTTACAGAATTTCTTAATCAAATTGGATCGCTCTTCATTTATTTTGAACTCGGTTCATTTTTCTATGGCTGTGGAGAAAAAGCTGTTTTTCATAGGAATTTCTCTCTTAATTATCAAATAAAATATCAATGTACTTCATATTATAATGTAAAAATGCTATCTT